GATTTGAATCTCTGCTGTGTGGGCTGTCATCCTGATTACGCTGAATATGTTAGACTTAATAGTCGTCTTCTTCTCGTGCTCCGTTAGCAAAGGCGGGCGGCCAGATCGAGCCTTTGGTAAGATACTGCTAGTGGAAATGTAATTATTAATTACTTTTTGGACGTTGGAATGGCCTCTTTCAACTAATGCACCAATTTCTCTATAAGATTTCCCATCTAAGAATAGTCTTATGATAATTTTTCGTTCCTTAACAGAAATTTCTTTGCCTTTACTCTCCATACTGTAATTCTCCGAAATGTGATGCAAAAACTCAGCTTAACAGCGCAATACTAATTGCTTAGACAATATAAGCAAAATCAACGAAAAAACAATCTACGGTAATCGTAAAATCTTGCATTTCACGCACCTTCAACCAGAGTAAGCAAACTTTTGCGTGTACATTTTTCGTAGTGTTAACTTTAAAATTAAAAATAAAATAGAAGACATTGTTAAAAAATTTTGGAAAAAATATATCATTGAAGACAATAAATTATAGTTACGTATAAAAAAAAATTGGTTAAAAATATTAATAAATGGTCGAACAATTTGAGTTGAAAGATTCATTTTAAAATTTTTTTGGGGTGTACGCAGATATATGCGAATAAATGTATGTATGTAAGAAAAATGTGAATGACTACTAACACTATTACATAAATAGTTGACTACTTTAAAAATATTTAATTGAGCAACAAATTTGACAAAGCGAGAGCAAATATAGATTGAATCAAGATTCAACAATCGAAAACGACATCAGTTCTTTTAATACATTATTTAAATTTAATTTTTAACTTTTAATTTGCAAAGAAACACAATATTTTAAATGCAAATGCATTTTAATTAGCAAGCGTCATAAAACAAATATATGAAGTGTTAAGGGCCCATTAGACAGCAACGTTCGTTGTCAACGCGCGCTTGATATTACACAAACAATTTTTTAAAAATTTTTTAAACACGCCCCAGATAAAACAACAAATATACTAAAAAATCGCTCTCACATGAGAATTTTTTTCTCCTACTTTTCTCCTACTTTGTGAAATGTGAAATTTGTTTGTGTGATAGTAACATTTGAAATTTTAAGAAATGTGTTGACGAAAATCAAAAAATTTTGATATTTCTTCAACCACGCTCGTGTTTTTGCATATACAGTCGGATTTGGTCGGCATGCAAAATTTAATTTATTTTGAGGAGTAGAAGCGTAAACATCGTTTAAATGCACGCATGATGTCGTTAGCAAGCGATCCTTTGCAAATATGAATGAATTGTATCTTTTATTTTAAATATTTGTATTTTCTACCTAGGTAAAATTTTTAATTTCCAAAACATGTTATTAAGAAGAATTAAAATATTAATAACCTTCGAGCTAAACAAATAATAACCAAACATTAAATTACAATGATAATTTGTTTTAAATATTAATCTGCATTGGTGCACCTGGAAAATTTGTTATTAAATACCCAGAAAAAAATAAATTATTAAAATATAATATTATAAAAATAAATATACAAATTGAAATAATAAAACAATATAAAATTATATATATTAAAATTATAAATATAATTGATAGAAACATTCATTTTCGTAAGGATAATTCACGCATTATTATCCGCTGTTGACACTTCAGCGATTGCTTTAATACTGATGAGTGAACAAATTTTGCATTGTTGGCTGGAGGCGTGTTTAAAAAATTGTTGGTAAATTTAATGTGTAATGGCAAGAGAAGACTTCGTGTGTTTGTCAACGCGCGTTGATGTCTAAGGGCCACTTTATATATTTATCTCTAGTGTTATACATTTTGTAACCAATTGTAAATGAAAGCTTTACAAAAGTAAATCTCGTAAGGTAAAGCAAACCCCATTTTTGCCTATCGAAAACGACATTTTTAAAATCTTCGCTGTATTAAATGCGTATTACACATCAGATTTGGCAAAAATTTCGCATTTCGCATTTCAACAGACAAGTTATACGACCAAATCTGATGTGTAATACGTATTTCAGACCATTACATGTAATACAAAACATAAATGGTGCTCGGAAACAAAATCGACAGAAGTGATATATTATTCGGAAAGGTTGAACTAAAATTTGCACCATAATGGAAGATAAGAGGTTGCTCGAGCTTTACAAGTCCCAAAAAAGAATGAAGGAAAATCTAATGTTCGATAACGGAGCTATTGAATTAAGTACTTTTTGTATCAAGAAGTTTACTTAGAAAAACAGTCATTTTACTTAGTCAAAAACAGTTTTTGGAAGTCTGAGCCGTGACAATTAATGATCGATATCTATTAGCGTCTTTAGACCAAATTGTTAATATTAAAGCAAAAATTTTGTGTAAAAAGGTGGGTGCTACTGTTAGTACGAGGGCAACCAAACATGTTGGCAAAACAGAGTGGATATTTCACAAGATCTCAAACGTTCACACTTCTAGAAATTTGCAATTCAGTTTAGCTGCACAAAATTTAACACTATAGTTAGTTAATTGTTCCCTTCAATTTTATATTATAAATTTAAATAAACTAATATGCTAAAACAGATGTGATCGATTTTCACAAATTACATCAGTTTAGATTCTTTTTTTGTAAAAGAATTTGTTCTTCATGAGTTATTTCCTTACTTCAACATTTTTATAACGTTCTTATACGGTAGAATTATAAACTTGGAAGAAATAGGTAATTTCCTTTCACTCATTCAAAAATAAGAGGAGAAATAGAATAAGTTTTATTGAGATAAAATACTCTCTCAGAAGCTTTCACTATTGGAATCGCTTTTAGAGACTTTGAACACCAGCTAAAGATTGTAATAAACTAAATAAAAACAAAGTAGGAATTATTGAAGGAGTTTTGATAGAGCACTATAGGTTAAATTATCACCTTACAAGATTAGAAGTTTACTCTTGTGCGATTCGCATATTTTTAGCGAAAAGAATAAGAACTCGAAACAAGTGCTGGATGTTTACCCGTAACTGAGGCATAAAAGAAATAAATATGTAGATGGATGTCTTACATCAGATAAAGAGACAAAACTCGGTAAAGTAAATTCAATACTATAATTTAGTAAGAAAATAATTAATTTAATTTTAGAAATAATTTGAATCTATAAGAATGGACAAAAGATGAATCTATAAATAGGGAGTAGTTCGTATAATTCGGCCATCGTTATCATCAATTTGTGATATACATAACGCATTATCTTGATCAGCTGACAATAAATATTTCCTTAAAATCTGAAGACGAAATCGAAAGCGCGATTGTATACTTAAACGAAATGATCGCTGTTGCCGTGACAAATTCTACCCCAGTTCTTAAACAAAACGACACTCAAAATAAAATCTCGATCTCAGTTAAAAGCAAGATAATGGACAGAAGAAAACTGAGAAAATAATGGCAAATAAATCGGTCCCCTGAACTAAAAAAGGACTTAAACAAACTAACCAAAGAACTTAAAATTATGCTACTTAATAAGAAAAATAAAAACTTGCAAAAATGCATAATGAACATGACAGCTGACAAAACCACTAACTTTATGGAAAGTTACTAAAAATATCATCAACTCAGTAATGCATCAACCACTACTGAGGAAAGCAAATGGAACTTGGGCTAACTGAAAGAATTAACACTGAAAAAGCTGAACTTTTTGCCACGTACTTCGAAACTACGTTTAGTAACCCAAAACAGCATGATAGCAATGTTACACGGAGCAGCTCTACTCAAAATGTCGCAATAAAGAAAATTTCAATAACAGAGATTAAGAACACTATTTAAAATAAAATTAAAGCAAAAAAATCACCGGGATATGATAGTATCACAGGAATGATTCTGACTGAGTTGCCTCTTCAAGCACTTGTATATGGGTCATTCTTTTACAAACCGGACACCTTTTTGACCTCATCACCTCCGATTTGGCTGAAATTTTTTTTATGAGCTCCTTTCATAAATAAGAAGACCCGTATCTCGGGAAAAAATTTTGTAATTTTTTCCTAGGAGATATGGACCCATGGGGTTTTGAGAATTGGCATTGTAGACACATTTTCAAATGGCTATATCTCAAGTTCTATAAAAGGTAGAAACTTGAAATTTATTACGTTTTAAAGATAATTGGTTGAACTTTTAAGAAATTGTTTAAACAATTAAGATTGTTTATATTTAAGTACTAATATTAACCGTTAAATTTCAAAAAAAAAAGATATCTCATTACGGTACGCAACATTTTTCATTTTTTATATTTTATTTAGATTAAGTTTAAATTTTACTAAGAAATAAAAATTTTCATGATGGCACCAATTTTTATAAATTTTTAAAACTTTTTTTTTCTCATAAAACACATCAAACACATGCGTGCTATATTTACATTCAATGAATTTTCAAAAAAAATTCTACAAATATTCTTATATAATAGTTTTGATTTCTATTAGTAATAAAATTGTACATAAAACTCAAAAATTTCAGGACGATATTGTCGTTGGAAGTACTTTTAAAAAATTTATTTATCCTTCACATCACTCGAAACACATACACACGATTTTTCAGTAAAAAAAAAAACAGAGGAATACGTCACACAAATTTTTCATTTTTACTTTTAATTCCAATTAAACAATAAATTCTTCTTCGAAAATAAATATTTCCAG